ACAGGCTTAAACTTCACCGATTTCTCTTTGAATTTTTGGAAGAACCAGTGGCCTTAGGATCCAATCATCTCATTTATGTTGAAGCCTCATGGAACGCGACTGTCGTATCTTTCGTTACGAAACGTTTCGATTCCTGTTCTGGTTCCGAAGCCTCGGCCTCTGCAACTTCTGCCGCTTTTAATTCGATGAGATCTTTATTTTTACAATTTAACTCATGTTGAGTCATTCAATTCTTTGCTACCACGATGTTATCCCTTATATATGAGCAGCTTCCTTCACTCCAGTTGTATTGGCTACTGATCATGTGTGACTCAGATCATGTCTTATGACCACTAAGTTTAGTCTACCTTCATATTTCTTTATGATTTTCTGTTTAATCTTTAGATAAATTCTGGTGCGTGTATAATTTATTAACCTCTGTTTTTTTAGTGATGATTGTACTCTATCACTGCTCACTCAGAGCGTAAAAATCAATAAAGTGTACGAATACAGTTGGTCAGCACATCCACGTTCAATGCCTAACGCAGTGGACATGAGGCAGGCGCATGGGAGTAAGGTAGGCGCTTTAGCAAACTTTTAACTCTAAGACTTATCCACGACCCTTTCAGGCTAATTTGCGTAAATCGAATTTGCGTTAGTGGGTAGCTTGTCGCTGCTTCTACGAACACCTCGGCTTGGAATCGGCCGAGTTACGAACACTAACACGTTCATGATTCGGAAACCTTCAAAGTAACTCTTCGTTTATTTTGTGTCAACGAGTGCAATTGATGGAAATTATGCAGTCAGCAAAAGTGGCATCGTTCGAATGCACTTGGTCGATTTAGGCAAGGTTCAACAAGGTATGATTTAAGTTTATCTGGTGTCATAATGCGTAATCCAGTCTTGGAGGGTACATTGGTTACTCGGGCGATTGAACAGCTTATAATGCAGATACGGTAGCACATGAGGAAAACGAGGTGGCTTTTGTAACAAATTGATGTGAGGTGCATTTGGCATTGAATGTGCTCTTATGCAACGGAGGCGTGCCCTGCGCGAATGCTCCATAGGTAACTAGAAATACGTCTGGTGGTAAAATACTTCTTTAGGTAGTCATTCGTTATATGAATAAAGCTTGATCGTATGAAATCTGCGGAAATTTTCTAGATATGATCAGCCACGACGCAAGTAAAGTTTTAATTATAAACTTTCCAAATAATTTTTTCAAAACACTCGAGCTTAAACCGTTGCTTATTCTTACAGAATATAACCGCGAAAATTTGTTCGAACGTTGCCGCGTCCTGTCGATATTTGCCCATTTATAATTTGCCAAATCAAGCATTGGAAGAGCCTGAAGTTGCACGTATCATTTTTCTTCTTTTCATTTTGTTGCCTGCGCCACGTAGATTCATTGTCACCAGTTCCAAGCACATGAACGTAATTTGATGAGGATATCATAGTCATAAATTTTTGTACAAATGAGGCTTTTGAAAGAAAAACGCCGCCAATATCACCGTTGCCCTGCCAACAGTCAGTTTGTCAAAGTCTTGAGGAGAAAACGTCGATAAGAAACGGACGTAATTTGGAGTCACGTCTGTATGAAATTTTTCAGGCATCGTCAGGTCTTCCAGTGGGTGACTAGACTTCATACGCTCTGGCAACACAGCATGATATGTCCTGCGCGATTGGTCGCCGAATACCGGCCGGTCGAGGAGGTGCAGGCGATAATTTTTATTGTAACATAAACTACAGGATAATTCTGTATAATGTCATAGCACAGAAAATACAATTGCCGATATCAGAGGTGAAAATAGCCAATTTCAATCTAAATTGGAGCAACATTGAAGATGCAATTCAATTCTTATGAATATTTCTTATCAAGAAACTCATTAAAACAGACTGGTCAATATTAATGATAATATTGAGCCATTGAACAGTTGTGCATTTATTAAATAAGTAGCTAAGAACCTCTGATTTTGATTCCTCACCAACCTATATGCCGAAGCACTTCCGTCACCCGGTATTCCATCAGATAAGTATGAAGAATCACTTCGCTCTCTTCCATGCACAAGTGACCTCAACAGACGTGCAGATTATGAAAAGTGCATTAGCCCTTTTATGCAAACTGGCTGGTCAAGAACGATTTAGCCTAGCCCATAGCTTCGTACACACACACACACACACACGCAACCGGCATTGCACAGACACGCTGGCTCATATCTAGGTGTGCAAATAATGACTCTCTGAACAGCAGAAGGGAAAAGACTCTCGGCATCTGTATTTATGTCGAATAACATCAGGTACTCATAACAAATCTCTACCCCCAATGAACCAACCTCTAAGCATTTGTGAAACATGGAATCTTACATTGGACAAGTTACGAAGCGCTAACCATCTACAGAGCATTGGCTCCTGCCCGAGTTAAGGAGCGAAGGAAGAGGTCTACGCACGCATTGTAGAGATGGCATTTTGGCATCCACATCACTAGGTCTGGAGCCTCCCATTTTGTTGACGGGGAAATGCACCGATTGTCACCAGTAATCCGTCAGAACCCTGATAGCCCTCGTAGTGCAAGCATTATAATACGAGTTCGTACGCGACTATGTTGAGCATGTAACTCCTCAAAAACAGCTTTCACGATTGCAGGTTGTCGTGTACCATAAGAAGCACTTTTGTCCTAGTTATTATTTAACAGAGTTCAGTGTATCCTTTCAGTATCAAACAACTTTCATAAAATTAACACGGAAAATATACGTGTGCCCTTACACAAATTTATAAACCTTCGTCCATCATTGAACTCGTCGAGAACAGGTGCTGCAGGTCAGCCCTGAAATCGAAATTCGCGTTCGTTATTCAATAACGACTTTGCGCTCAGAACAGATGGCATGCCTCAGGACTGCCGTCTTCTGACCAATGGTCAACAAGCGTTCCCGCGGATTTGCGCAGCTCTGTACGAATTCCCACAGGCCAACAGTATCAATGGTGGTCATTTTGAAGCGACCGGTTCACAACGCCACTCGATGGCAAGACAAGGGAAGGGAAGTCGCGACTGACTGTCGATGGCTCTCTCCAGGTGCCAGTGAACGGTTCAGGTCTGCGGTCAGTACTTATAGAGGCAATCGGCCCCGTTTTGCTGCTCGTGCATGAATCGGCTGTCACAACAACCGGCGACCTGCGCCCTGAAGCTAGACGGTAGCGAAAAACGTGTTCCACGTTCCACCGATGCCCGCAGTGTCGATCTTTCGTCGCATCCGAAATTTGTTTGTGTCCTCCCACGCTAAGGCGTTTCTTGAGTAAAGTTGCTTCTGCGTGACAGGTTTTTGGACGTCCCTCGACGAATGTTTGCGAATGTTCTTTCCACTGAATGATTGCCTGTCTATTCGATATTCGATGGCAAG